TGTGGGCGTATATTGCCGTTGCCCCTGTCCGTCGGTCGGCGCTTGTGAGTGCAATGGAGGCTACATTTTTTATCCGATTTGATGAAACTTGGTATGCATGTATATATTGGTGAGATCTTAAACACGTCAAATTTGGCCTGTAGGCACGATAGAGACTACAGTTTTTTATCTTGATGAAACTTGGTATGCATGTATATATTGATGAGATCTTAGAAAGTTCGAAATTGGTAATAATCGGACTAACGGTTTCAGAGTTATCACCCTTGACTTAGTAAAACGTGTTAGATTTTCCTTGTAGGCACAATAGAGAATACAGTTTTTATCCGTGAAACTTGGTTTGCATGTATGTATTGATGAGATCTCAGTCAAGTTCGAAATTGGTAATGATCGGATGAACTGTTTCAGAGTTATTGCCCTTGACTTAGTAAAGATGCCTTGTCAGGCAAGGTAATATACGCCCACTGGCAGCTTTAATTTTGAATAAAAATATTTAGCAGTACAGTAACAATCACCAGTATGAAATATTCAACCTTCAGTCATACACTTCTTTTGAACTCTTTAGGGCGATGATGAATAATATTGAGTATGAGTTATTGCCCTTGTTCTTGAAAAGGTGTTCAAATTGTAGCTCGTGAAAACTCTAGTCAATCTTCAGCACGGGACTGATTAATAAAGTTTTGTCAAAATCCAGCAAGAATCATGCCTTTTAGTGTTCAAGAGCTATATTTGAAAGCGTTTTCAAGAATAAGGGCAATAACTCATACTAAATATTTTCCAATTCTTCTGATTTTCAATAGGGTTCATCCTTTGGTGATTACGAACATTCACACCATCAAAATCCGTCAAGAATTGTGCCTTCTGAAGTGTTTACAAGCTAAAAATTGAACGCGTTTCAAGAACAAGGGCAATAACTCATACTAAATATTTTTCGATTGTTCTGATTTTCAATAGGGTTTATCCTTGGTTGATAAAAAACACACATGTCAAGTTTCGTAAAAATCCACCAAGAATTGTGCCTTCTAGAGTGTTTACGAGCTAAAAATTGATCGCGTTTTCAAGACCAAGGGCAATAACTCATACTAAATATTTTTAAATTCTTCTGATTTTCAATAGGGTTCATCCTTGGTTGATTACGAACACTCTTGCAAAGTTTCGTTAAAATCCATTAAGTGTTGTCCCTTCTAGAGTGTTTACGAGCTAAAAATTGAATGCGTTTTCAAGAACATGGGCAATAACTTATACTAAATATTTTTCGATTCTTCTGACTTTCAATAGGGTTCATCCTTGGGTAATAACTAACACTCATACCAAGTGTTGCCAAAATCCGTCAAGAATTGTGTCTTGTAGAGAGTTTACGAGCAATTGTGGACGGACCGACGGACGGACGGGCGGACATGGGTGACGGCAATATATGCCCCAATTTCACGTATAAAAACGTGTCAAATTTGCCTTTTAGGCACGATAGAGACTACAGTTTTTATCCGATCTTCATGAAACTTGGTTTGCATGTATATATTGATGAGATCTCAGTCAAGTTCGAAAGTGGTAAAGATTGGATGAACTGTTTTAGAATTATTTCCCTTGTGTGTGCAGCGATGAGAAATTGTTCATGTTTGATTTTGATGATAACTTGATAAACTTATAGATGATTTAAAGATTATTTGAAAATTCATTATTAAGCCACTAAAGATTTTGTTATCATTTGTGATAGCTGGTAGTGGCGTATGTTACCCTGCCTGGCAGGCTACCTTTTTTTAGGGTGGCTGAAAAAATTTTTTCCAGATCGACACCACGGTCTTGTAGCATCGCTGGCAAAATTGTGTAAAGGGACTGTGTAGAAAAATTAAATGAAAGCTATGGACATGGAACAGGTTTTTCACAGTTAGGCTTTAAACTTTTCCACCAGCCCTCGCTTAGCAATGTGAATATAATAGTTTTAGTAATGAAGAACCGCGCCACCTAACATACTGAATTAATTGTAACATTACATGCTCTAGGACAAATATCAAATCAAAGAACACCAATTAATATTAAAATTTAAAGTTGTGTATTGATCCAAAAGACATCATATCATCCGGTATCGACATTTGCGTATTGACATTTGAGTAGCAAGGTATAAAGTGAGTGAAACAAAATAAAAGCAAATTTAAATAGCTTTTCTCCAATTTTCAAAAATGTTATGAATTATAAAACACACTTTGTCTGAAATGCAATTTTATTTCTTTCATTGTATTCCTTAAAAAATCATATCAGGCGCATATATAAGAATTATGCTTTTAGTTAATTCATATCACTCTATATTATTAGTGCGATTTCCTATTCATGATTTTGAAACCGGACCACATTATCTACGGCCTTACTGGATAAATTCAAATGAGGGGAGGGGTACTTTTTGAAATTGGATTTCGCGGAAGGGTTGGTTTGATCCTCCAAAATGTACAGGCCAAGGGAGGAACAGATAGTTTATTTAGAAATTCTGATCTGAAATTACAAAAAAAAAGTATAGTAACTGTTATGCACTGATTGTTTTTAGTTTACTATGAACAATATTATCATTTAGGCTCTTATTTTTTGAATATTCCTCTTTAAGGCTCTTATAGAGGGTGAACTTTCTTGCTAGCTCGATTGCTGGTTGTATTGAACGGGACAACAAAGGGTGCTATGCCTACATTATGGAGAGTATTTAGTCCTATAGGTCTTGCTGTATTCAATGTCTCAATCCAATGGGCTTACCTTGATTGTTGGAATTTGGTAGTTTCATCTTTGGGCAAGTCAATTTCTATGTGCTCAATCGGGATTAGGGTGAGATTGTCTATTGAATAGTCGTCGAGGTTGAAATGATTAGAAACAGGCTTGTCTTTCTTTAATTTGATGTCCGACCAATGAGCATAAAAACGAGTTCGTAAATTATTCTTAGTTTCTCCTACATATTGTTTTGGTTATTTCTTACATGCAATTAAATATATTACATTCGAATGTTAGATGTTCCTGGATCGGGTACCTTTTATTCGTAGAGTTTCTGATATAAAGGGACATGTTTTACATCAACTGGACAAACAAGGAGCACTCCTTAAACATGGAGGTAATTCGGCATAAAACCTGTTTTTAGCTGCTATCTGTGCTAAATTGGAATTTTTTATGTTTCGTAAAAATCGTTTAGAGTACCCACACTCTTTCAGTTTTAAGAAAACAATCGTACAGGCTTGGTTGAAATCAGAAGATCTTGTGCAAATTCGGTAAAATCGTAAAACTTGAGACTTAATTATAACAGAATTATATGTATGGTATGTTTTAGGTGAAAGGAGCTCTTGTGCAAGAGTTGATGAGTATCAGTTTCTTTAATATCACTTTAAATACATTTTAATATCTAGTTTATTTGTTTCTGCTATGGAGTCTATGCTTTTGTCACTCACGTTTGCGGTTAGTTTGATGGTTAGATTTTCAAAGAATTTCCAAAACTGTTCGATAGAATAAGTCCAAACCATAAAAATGTCATCCAAAAAGCGTCCGTAAAAATGTGGGTCAAATGGACAATACCTCACGTTCTCACTCTGCCATGAAAAGGTTTGAATACGAAGTAGCGAATCATTTGCCCAAAGCTGTCCCTGAAGTTTGTAAATATGTTTTACCATTAAATGTGAACTCGTTTCGACTGTGAGAAATCTCTAAAAGCTGTAGAATTGCATCGTCGGGTTTGTTTGGATCTGGGTTTCTATTAAAAGCTTTACGAACTGCCGTTAAGCCAGCAGTGTTATCGATATTGGTATACGTAGTAAATATTAACCTCCCCGGAGTTGATATTAGAAATAACCACGATGCCGAAGGCCGAGGGTTATTTCTAATATCTTACCGAGGGTAAGAGGGTAATATTTTACATACACATCGACATGATTTTTAATATACTGATAAATAGCTCCCCTCTAATCTGCAATAAACTCTACCATATCATCATGTGTTGTTTTAGATAACATGAAGTCAGTGAACACTGTTATGCACGTGATAATTGATATCACGTGACACAGCTCAAACAATATGGACGCACAGTCAACATCAAATGAATCTGATGAAGAATTGCTAATAGCAACTCAAATCATAGAAAATACTCTCCCTCCATCTAATTCGGACGAAGAATTGATAGCAGCCAGCCAAAGCATATAATTTTTGGATTGAATTTTTGAATCGGGTATTGATAAAAACATGGATATTTACTCTGATATATCGGATGCAGAAGGACCTGTGAATGATCATGATCAGCGCTTCTGTGCTTCAAAAGATGAAGAAATTATGGAAGTTGCCCAGACAGCAATTCCAAAAAACACGTTGAGGCGTAATAAATGAGCGAGAAAAACACTTGAACTGTGGACGATATGGCGTAATAATCAACGTAAGGAAGGTGAACCCAAAATACAGCATGATTTGGAACACACGGATAACAAAGAGTTGAACTTTTGGCTAAGTAGATTTGTAGTGGAAGTCAGAAAAACAAATGGAGATTTCTACCCACTAAACTCCATTTTTAGCCTTGTTATGGGACTGGTATCTCATCTACGTATAGTGAGTAAAAACAACTTGGATATTTTACGAAATCCAGAATTTGAAGATTTTCGCAAAGTATTAGACAAAGTATTAGATGAAAAATCTGACAAATAAAGGACTGGCTCAAACCAAAAAACAACCCGAACCTATATCAATCCAGGAGGAAGAAATATTGTGGTCAAAGAAAGTTCTTGGGACACATAATCCACGAGTGCTTATAAATACCCTTATTTATTTAAATGGATTGCATTTCTCTTTACGAAGTGGGAAAGAGCACAGAAATTTAAGGTATAAGAATAGTCAGATTTCTTTGGTTTCGTGTGCAGACGGATCCCAGTTCTTACGTTACAAAGAAGATATTTCGAAAACTGTTCAGGGTGGGTTGAATCACCGAAAAATAACCCCTAAAATTGTTGGAATTATGTCCAAGTGATGGCAGAGACGATGCGTTTTATCTGACGCCGATGAAAATTACAACCGATACCCGCTGGTATAGAAAACAATCTATGGGCCATAATGCAATTCAGAAGGTAATTCCAGAATTATTAAAAGTAGCTGGTGTATCTGAATATAAGACTAATCATTCCTTGAGAGTGACCACTGCTACAAGTCTCTTCAATTCTGGTGTACCAGAACAGCTGATAATGGAGCGTACCGGCCACCGCAGTGTGGAGGGTAAGTAGATTTTGGTTAAATACATGTATTATTTTTATTGTCACGTCTTTCCTTGCTGCTGGCTCATTCTATGTATAATATCGTAATGGACAGCAATTAATCAAAATATCAATCTATGTATAATTTTAAATGTAAATTTAATGTGTATTTACAGGGATTAGAACTTACAAGAGGACATCAGATGACATGAAGAGGGGAATAAGTGGCATTTTGAATCACGCCGATACCATAAACCCAACAGACACTACAGATACCAAAAAAGAAGCTGACAATAATTCAGAGACGCCGACAAAAATAAGCCGAACGAGTGCACCGATTATATATGCTACTAATTGCGTTATCAATATATCAAAATAAAGTTATAAATGAGAATGTCTTTTTTTTCTCGTCTTGAGAGGGTGATATCATCCTAAGGGACGATATCAGATATTACATCTGATGATGTCCAATATCGTTCGACAACATCAAAGGGAATACTTTTACGAGGTGTGTATATAGAAGAAACGTCGATAGAAATTAAAATAGCATGAGAAAGAACTCGAAGATTTTTTATTTTATTGACAAAATCGGTTGTGTCTTTAAGGTAGGCGCGATGTTGACATGCTAGAGATAGTAAGAAATGATTAATGTATTCTGACACTACATAAGACTCACTACCACAGTCAGATATAATCGGGCGGCCTTTCGGGATTTTATTCGAGATAAACCACTCCTTGGTTGGATTCTTAGGCAAAGTGTATAAATGTCTCTCACGACAATCAGGTTTGGCAGTTAGTCATATTGTTTCTGTTTAATTTTGACTAAATCGGCAAGAATATTGTTAATCATATTAACAGTTTCTTTGAAAATTAGTTGGTAAAATGGCATAATGTTTAGGATTATTCAGTTGATTCTCTGCTTCTGAAACGTAATCCTCCCTATTCAGAATGACACAACATGAGCCTTTGTCAATCTTTTAAAAGACAATGCTATCGTCTTAAGTAAGTTTAACGCTTCACGTTCCACTCGTGTGAGATTGGAATGGTTCTCTGTTAGGCTATTCATACTCTCAATTGCTTTCAATATTTAAGGATGGATGAGGGGGTGTCTTCGTGGATTTAGGAGTAAACATTGTTCTAGTACCACGTGGGGTGGTTTCGAAAAAATGTGTGCAGCTAAGATTTCGTTGAAATCGTTCAATGGATTGGCGGATATAGTTAAAGTTGGCTTCCTTCGTCGTCATAATAAACTTAAGTCCACGGTCTAAGATTGAATGCTGAAGGGGTGTGAGAATTCTGCGGCTCAAGTTAACTACAGTTTGGCCTAGCGGTGGCTTCTCAGCATTTTTATTCCTAGTAATTAGTTTAAAGACTTACTCGATGCTTGAAGCTGGTGTATCCAAAACAAATAAATACTGTTTGCTGTTTCTGGAGACCAGTGAAGATTATCAACAGGTTCGAATTCTTCTTTGGAGGGTGGTAAGATTGTTGCGCTGCTGGTATTGGACTCCATCATCATGTTGAGGGTGCTGGGGTTCTGGTGTGCTTTCTTCGAGATTTTTTTTGAGATGGATATACATGTGAAGATGATATTGGAGTTTTGGAAGGTTTGTTGGCTGTAGCGATTACTTTTTGGCTTGGTTAAAGGGGGTCTTAGGTAGCTGATCACTGTTGTTGAGGCCTACATGCAGAATAACGATAGTAGGTTTGGGATGATGGTCGTATGATTCAAGGATGGACTGTATGTGATGGATTTGGGCACCGGGGTAAGAATGTACCTGAACTGGTTTTGGTAATTCGATTCAGGTTAGAAGATCCAATGATTAAGGTAGATTTCTTCAGAGCAGGTAGATTCCATAATGATTTGTCCTTGGTGTGATGATAAAAGGGTTTAGTAGCGGATATAATGGTTATCGACAGGGTGATTGGTACTGGTTTGGTAATTGTTAGAAAAGTAGCATTGGTCACGGACTGGGATCTGGTTCGAGGAGGGGATTGTCTGGATACACGTCTTGACTTGGATGGAGACTGATGGGTGGTTTGCTGGTCCAAAAACGCGGTGAAGATTCAGATGGCGTGGAAGGGAAAGACGAGTCTAAAGTGAAAAGAGAAAGGGGGTGCGCTCTCTAAGAGAACGTTTACCTATGTCCGCTGGACTAGGAGTAGGTGAACTTCGGGCTCGTTTTAATTAGGGGTTTGGCTCGATAGGGTGGTGACTCTAGCTGGTGGTTACAGTGAGACGTTTCCAATAGGAGCGACGGGCCCAGGACAGGACATGAGAAACGATGATAAAGACTTGGTTCGAATGGTGGTCAGTTACTCTTGAAGTGTGGTTTGGTAATGGTCAATGAGATTTTGCGTTTGAAGGTAAACGCTGGTTGACCATGCTGTTGAAGGGTAAGGACATAGGAGACGATGGGATAGAACTCCTCGCATACGCAATCCATTTTGTATAAGGTAAACAACGGTGCTTTCTACGCAACTGTTCTCAGCGAATATGATCAAAACGTCATCGACATCGGTGATCATAAAAGGATGTATCTACATCTCACGACTCATTCAATTGTAGTTTTCATTAGAACAAATCGCAGACGGAAACTCTTTGTACCAATATCGATAATCATTAATGTCGGATTATTTTAAAGATTAGTTCTTCAAACTTAAAAAAAGATGTATTTTCTTAATTACGTCATACAGACAAACGATCAAGGAGAGGTTATGGATTGGTTGACATATATTGTAGATGAAAATTGCCGAGAGATATTCCAAGACTATATATTGGTCTTGAATACGCTCACTTGGTATGCTATAACAAGGAATTTGAAAAAAACTGCTTGTTCCAAAGGTCAGAGCAGGCACAGTTGTCCAGAAGTTGTTTACCTGTGCAGCTTAGAACGAGGAGTAATACTAAAATATAAATCAATGTTATCGAAATACAGGAGGTAATCTCAATCTGAAAAAAATACGTATCCAATACTTTGTCATTTGCTTTCAGGAAACCCCACATCAGAGCTGCATAGGATAATATAGACTCAATGAAACAATCGGAGAGCTTACACTGTTGTCTTTAATCAAGGTTTAACTTAAAGAAAATACAGTTTAATTTGTGATATGTGAATTTTGGAATACATTCCACAGGGATAGTTCTGTGTGTAAATTTATATTGATCTGGTTTATCCATACCTTTTGGAACACTACAACCTTAGTTTTGCTTTTAGGTACCATGCTTCACAATATTGCTGGTGCCGTGTAAATTGGTTTTGTAAACCTCCTTCGGTTTAGATAGCCAGACCTTGTCGTCGATAAACTATATCTAATATAGTCTTACAAGAGCATGTTAAAGTAAAATATCACATAGTTCATTTACAAAGAGAAATATCAAGAAGGAAATAAAAGAATGATCCGTTGTGTGGTTAACGTCCAGGGATGCTACTCTGTCATTAGTATTGTCATTAGAATTTTCTCAACAGCTATTAGGATACTTCTGGTATGGGGGAGTAGGTAATCTATTTACGTTTAAGAATAGCTTTACAAAATGAATGTATATGAAGACTAGTCTTAGCCACGAATTTCCTTTAAACGGCCACAAGCGTATGTGATCAACTAGGTCACAATGATCTTGTTTCCTTCAAGGGAAAACGTAACATTTAAGATGCCATGATGCCAGGGGAAAATTAGTCCGAATGATTCACCTACAAATCAGACTCCAATTAAACAACAGGATATGTGAAGATAATGACTGTTAGTTTCATAGGCAAGGGTCCAATTTAAGATAGGCTATTACGTCGTTCTACAAGCAGGCAAATATAAATTTGCTTAGATTGAAGATTTCACGACGTCAATATTTAACATAATGTCGCAAAGCATTGTCACACTTTATAAGGACTGTTTTATTTTCCAGATTTTTATTAAAAATTTACTATACATCTGTAACTGTACATTCAGATGCAAAACACTATTTTATTTTTTTCATTAAATTTTAGTCTCTCGTAGTTTTAGTCAGATTAACACTGCTTTACATTAACACTACTGTTCTTAAAGACTGTTTTGCGAGCTAATTTAGCCAGTCTGATGATGTAAATAAACTTATCATGCACCACTTCATAGATAAGAGTCGCTGGATAATGAAATTAGACTTAAGACTACTTGTACCAATATTGTATCTCATCTTAAATATGAAAATGGTAACTCACTTATACCAAACTGCGATATGGTTATTGTTTATATAGCAAAATGAAAAACACTATATTAGTTTCAACCTCATATCTTTATTGTAAGTTTTGACGTCCAACAGTCTCCCAAATCAATCTGTTGCCATTTTTTTCGAGAAGAGTTATTTCTTTAGATCAATATCAATATGACCTTCATTCAGGATTACATTGATGATGATGTAGATCACATGTAACTCAAATTCAACCAAATCCAACCCCCTTTCAAACAAAAATAGTCCAAAAGTCCACTTTTGAACAGTTTTTTGAAAGAGCTTTATCCTCAAGCTATTGTGCTGCTCTGAGAACTTGTCAATGAAATCGTCTGGGTCTATGAACGCAGTGAGTTCTCACTCAACATGCAAGATTCCGAGATCGCTTAATCGAGTGTTTGTCATTATATTTCTCAAATATATTTTTATCAGTTTTAAACAAGAAAAGCTGCGTAATTTGAGTCATGTTTGTAATTAATGGAGCTCCTCTGTCTCCTCCAAAACTTGATTACTGTAATAGTTTGTTTTATGCTCTTCCGAATTACAAAGTTAAATAATTTCAACAAATCCGAAATTCGGTTGCTAGGCTTGTCACCGGACGGAATCTCGGATGGCATGCAGATATGACACGACACCCCTACTCAAAGAACAGCGAGTTCGTTTTAAAAATTTATGCAATATTTTTTTTTAAACTTTTTCGTCATTTTGACATAGTACCCTCATACCTCACTGATATTATTTCTGTCCACAGTTCGGCATATTGTACCAGGAATAGCACTGAAATGAGACTTTTATAAAGCCCATGGAAAGAAAACGGTATGGCCGCGCCAAAATTATGAAATAATCTGCCACTAGCATTGAGATCCATTTCAGAGTTTCCTAATTTGAAGTCAAACCTGAAAACTTTTATTTTTAATGGCTATTATGGTTAATGTTAGGAAGGCATTTTTGTCTTACATTTGAACTCTGTGTCAAAGACTTACCAACTTGATTAATCCATTTTTTTTTGTCAGATTTACCATTTAACCTCTGTGAATGGTTACCATCTTGAATTATCAAAGTTATTGTTCTCAGATTTGAACTCCATGTAAAATGGTTACCATCTTGAATTTATCAATGTTTTTTATGTGCGATTAAAACTCCGATTCGGACACCGATGGTAAATCAAGATGACTAAT